TCCTGCCGAGGAGAGGAAATACTGATGAGCACGTCCCTGCTGTGAGTGACGCTGCTCACCACGGCCTCGGCGCTCACTGCCACCTGCCCCAGAATCCTGTTTGTAGGAAAAACGAATCCCTGACTCAGCTGCTGGGGTCAGTAACTATTCTCGCCTGAAGAGTAAACAGCAAATGACTCGTTTACAGATTAAGGTCGTGAGCCTCCTCCAGAAGCTGGAAGGCGCCTGCAGCTCCTCCCAAGGGGCCACATTTTATTGTGAGAACCACAGAAGCCCAAGGCGCCCCTTGGTTCTGAGGCCTGAGACCCAAGCTTGGTGCACCTGGGCTGGAACAGTCACGTCCCCAGCCCATGACTAGGGCTACGTATTTTAAAGGACACCTCAATTAATCTCTCAGAAGCAGCACCTGACACGACCATGGGTGTAAAGACAGGAAGGATGTTCCAGGCAGCTCCCGGGGAGGGTCTGACTACCTGGGTCAACTACAAGCTAGCTCCATGGGAGCCAACGGCAGTGACCAGCGGGCACCAGCTCCTGACACAGAAATGCTCTTCTTCCTGTCAGCACCCCGGAGTACAAGACTGGGCAAGAGGCTCCAGGGACACACATGTCGCTTTGTGCCACAAGTGTGCCCTCCAGCAGCCTTGGAGAATGAGGCTCAGGTGGCCTTCTGGCTGCAGGGGGTGCTGCCCTTGCCTGGAAGGCCATTCTCCAGGACACCGACCCGCTGGGGGTTGCCGGGAATCGGAGTGGAGAAGCCAAGGCCGCGCACTGTGTTTCAAATGGGAGGTCGAGAGGAGCAGCAGGGTTTAGGCACGGGAAGCCGTGGCGGCTCTCTCCACAGTTCCAAATTCCCAAAGGGGCAAAGCTCTGCAGCGACAGGAAGGCAGATCCAACTTGAGACATTTTCCTTTATGACAGGGCAGAAACAGTAGCACAGAGCTGGAGAAGCCTTTATTTTAGGGGGTGTAAGAAGTTGAAATGTGGTCAGTCTATCTGTGAGCTGTAAATTAAAGTCTAGGGATCTAAATTTAGTCTCAGGTCTACCAGGCATCTCAAGAT